ACTGAACCGCGTTCGTATGTGCAGAAGGCGAAGAAAGGGCATGTGGTCGTGGACGAGTTTCATTGTTCGAACCAGCTCTTTCTTTTTATTACTCTACTCTCAATATTCGAAATAAAGAGAGTAACAAAACAACCGTAACATCAGGTAGCACTTAGAATTGAAAGTGGGGGCATCGCTATGACCAGTGGGCCATTTCGTAGTTAAGGGGTACAAGTGAACTACATCGGCCAAGGTGACCTTTTACAGACCCTGCTACAATTTGATGCCCTCACGAAGCCGCATAGCGACCAAACGATTAAAGGTTCTCAAATGAACGGATTACCTTCGATGGGGTCTTCTTATCGGCTACATATCGATTGTTTTTCTTCAAATATGCATGGTAGAAGAAGTTGCAGAACAACAAGAAGTACGTGAAATAAATCATGAAACACAATCCTAGATTCTCCCATGTCTGTTGGCACGATTCACCGGATGACTGAACAAATTTTAGTCAGATGATAGTTGCTATTTCAAAGGAAAAAAATTTCATGGACATGGCTTACCTTTCTCCTATAAACAACTATTCCAATGAAGATACCCATCACCATTTGCGAGATCTGAAGCACCGTAACCACCATGGCAACGTGTTTAGGAAGGCGAACCCGGAGAGCGCGAAGCGCATAGTACGTATACATGAGTGCATGAACACCGTAATTCATCCATATAAACCAGCGACCTAAAGAAACCGCAAAATTACAAAATTACTATGAATGAAACATCAAAATAGGAAATTAACAGCAGTGACGTACCAGAAGCAGTGTGGTCTTTGTAGGCATGCCATGTGAAGATTAGGACAGTAACGTGATGGTACCAATGAAGGAAGAGCAGTGGACGCTTACGTAAAACAATGAAAGCAGTATCCAGTAATTCGGCCACCTGTTTATGAAATGATTTTTATTGAGCTGGGAAAGAAAACTATCTAAAGATGGTGTTCACGCCTCGAAAACCCGGCTTAAACGAGAAAATACAAAAAAGCTTAAGAACATGGCCGAAACATGGGAGGGGGGGGAGGGGTGTGATGGGGTGACTAAGGGACCGCGTACAACCAAAGGGATTTTGTCGCGTGCCCCAGTCTCCCCTGAACCACTTCAAGTTGGTTCATTAGTCAACATCGAGCTGCAGAATAGCTGAATCGTAGACAGGGCACGTTTTGCCGCGGAAAAAAATTTCTGCAAACCATGGACCTGCATCCCTTGAAATTTCCATTTTTGGTACGACTTCCCTTTTCCGCTTCTCATCCTAACAACTCCGAGAGTTCTCCAACTTTCTTCTCTTCTCTGGAGTATTGGTGCACTTTTCCAAGAGAAGTGCCATCGAGCGGGGGTGGAGGGGGATCTAGAGCACTTCAACCAGGAAAAATCAGGACAAGTCAAAAACCACCAACACTTTTCTCATAGGTGACAACAACTTCCCCTTGCTGACGACTTTCAGCGTACGACGTGCCCTAATCGTAGAATCGGGAGAAATCGCAGAAAGACTAGATACAGATCGATTACGTAATTTACCGCTCCATTTCCCGTCAGATCCTTTTTGCCATTTAGCTATCGAGTAGTGACCCAGACCTAACAATGTGCAGTCCATACCAGCAGAGTACAGCAGCGTGATGTGTGAAATGGTGGTGTCAGTACGACCCCTCCCCATTTCCCCAACACCTACCTAGCACTTCCTTACATCCCAGCTTCCTACCAGTTTTCTCCGAAATCTCCCAAAAATTTTCTACTTTTCCCCAAAAATTTTCCGTCGAGAGGAGGGAGGGGGAGAGGGAGGAAGGTAATCAGAAACCAACCACTATGTTCAACTATCGGAAATATATAGAACCTGACGGAGCCACCAACTATGGGCGGAAGGGGCGGGGGGGGGGGATATAGCAAATGTGAAAGGGAAAAATCGGGAAAAATTTCTGCCCAACGCGGCAAATCTCTCTCAAAGGCACATACGATCCCCCTCCTCCTAGTGGTCAAATGCGCCCCCCCCCCCGTGTGTTTCACACAACGATGCTGTACCCTGCTTACCACTTGATTCTCTGACTCTTTAATGACATTTTCTATGAACACGGTCCTACCACCAGGAAAAGACAGCTTCAAGCTGTAATAACTCAGGCGGGATAAGCCATCAAATAGAGCAGTCTTTAGTTGTTCCACTCCCAGCCAAAATATTGCCCTGTATTAGTATAAGGCGTATCGTTCCGAACGCCGACAATTTTTCTTGCTCAGTTTAACTTTGTGTTCCTAAGTTGATCTTCTCCATATAATCCGTACTCAATAAAGGTGTTTGAAATGCAGTTGGAAAAACAAATTATGCAAAAAGACAGGAAAACTGCTGTGTCAACCAACGCTTCGCACGCGATAGCGCGTGCGACTGTGTGGAATTGCACCTTATCCCTCAAAAAAAGCGTATTAAAAATGATTGCGTGACGTCTAAATTAAAATGAAACTGCGACAAAAACAGCACCCTCCATGGAACGCCTGTAGAGGTATCTTTTTCAGGATATTTACATAGAATTTTTCATTAATATCTCCACAGCAGTTTGGAATCGACAAAAACCGCACAGCGGCCATTAATAACACGCGTGAACACCACCATGTAAAGAAAAGGTCTCACCTTACTCATAGCGAACTGCTCGGTCCAAAATCCCGTTACACCTTGAGCATACGATGCAGTACAGACGGAGTACACAAACGAATTGCTGAAAACAAAACTCATAATAAGTTGCCGGGGAAGAGTTTTTGCCTTGGCTTCCATCCTTTTTATAAGGATTATTACGGCTGCTGAAAGCATCAGCGGAAGCGATATAGTCAAGTAAATCGTAGAGTCTACTAGATAAGGTAGTTAGATTACCCCCGATACGTTGTCAGTAAGCTTGACTTCGCAGCTTCGCAAGTGTTCACAGGTCTGGCAGAAGTGAAACCTATTTTTAGCATGAACTTTCGAAAGGAACTAGCAAAAATAGAAATGCCCTCTGTAAGCCGAACAGCGCCGCCTCTTTAAAGGCGTATTTGTGGGAAATTTTCACAAGTTCGCCGTTTTGAGCATTATGAAAGTCAAGACCTACAGGCGGCGCGCTACTTCGTGACACAGGAGATCGCTGAGTCGGGACAAAAAGAAAATCCCCAGAAAAGGGGAATTTTCCTTTCAATCTGAAGAATCTCAAATAGGGTGAATTTGCAAAAAGTTAGTTTCCACAGTTCATTTCTAATCCTCCAACTGGGCGGAGTCTGAACTTTTCGCAAATTCTCCAATTCTCCCGTTCTCCAGATCGATAGGTATACTTTCCTTTTCTACAACGCTCCAATATTCCGGCCCTTTGAATCGATACGTATACCTTCCTTTGCGCGGAACCTTGATTTCTTTGGCGCCACAAGAAATGAGCGCAATGTTATATTCGCTTCTGTAAACCCAAAAAGTGCTTAAACACACTAAAATACCAGAAATATCCATTAATAGTAGGCAATTACACTTGAAGTAAAGCAAACTTCAAGCGAGCTTGATGGTTTAGCAAATATGAGTTACTCTTATTTCCCCCCCCTCCCTCTTCAAAAAAAACTGCAGGGAGTGTAGAAGAGGTGGAGGCAGTGTATAAAGCGCATTGGGACGGGGAAAAACCGAAAAAAATTCAGCAACCGAAATTATTTCTCACGAAGCCAAATACGGTCCTCGTTTCAGTGGCACCTCTCTTCCCAGGGGATTCCCAGCATGTGACGTGCCCTGCTACCCCCATACTATCGAATTTCAGTCAAAGCCATCGATCATCGGAGATCAAAACACTTGGGAACTTGATGTGGATGCGGCCTTGAGGAAAGTGGCGGCAGAGAAAATAACGATATGTTATCCAGTGTTAGCACTCTTTCCTTCAGACTGAATCCACATCGAAAACACTTCTTCGTTCTAACACGATAAATCGACATCGGAAACGAAGACTGAACGTCACAGGTGAAAACTGGTGCTACTCGCTCAATCTCAGAACTTTCACATCTCGCTACTTTGAAATTTTATTAAAGCAAATATTATCACAAGAATGCTGAGATGTGGGCAAAAGTCGTGCCCCAGGCGGGAGTTGAACCCGCACCTCACGCTT